AGTCGTCAAAAAACTACAAAAAATATAAAAATATATTTAGATATATATCAGAAACTTTATATACACAATGATTCTTTTTATTTCATTTCAGTCATTATTTAAAAATATAAATTATGAAAAAAATGTGACTCAAAGATAAATCTATAAGTTACATTTTCATATTTCAAAATATTACATACTTTTTACATACTTACAAATTTTTAAAAAGTACTTATAATTACGAGTAATATTTTATTAGAATTTACGAGCATTAATTAGACCAGAATTAATTAACTGGTTGATGCGGTATTCAATGATGTATTATGAGTTTGTTTGCGATAATGGAGTGCCTCTTGATACGCTTTTTTAACAGCTTTTCTATCCGCGGGTTTTCGAGACTCAATTAGTTTTGCTTCATCCAATTCTTGGGAAACTCCAAGTTTTTCTAATTTTTCTCCCGGTAGCCATTGCCTGTAATAATTATTTATAATTTTATTAACAAAAAAATCAAATTCTTATTATTCTACAAAAAAAATTAAGTTATTTATATTAATTATATAAATAATATAATATATTATATTAATTAAGTTAGAAGAAATAAAAAATATTCTTACCATGTTCTTTTGGTATCGAAGAAAAGAACGAGAAATACTGGTTCTTTATAATTAATAGCAAGTGCTAATACATCATCTGGTGGTGCTGGTATTGGTACACCTTTATGCACAGTACCTCTAGGAGTATTAGGATCTATTATAAGAGCTGGATACCAGGGATAACCACGGCATTTAGCCCATACAAGTTGAAGGGCTTCTAGACCATTACTAGCGATTATTTCTTTGCTTTCCAGTTCTTTTTTTGCTTCGTTTGCTTCTTGTTGTCTCTGTTTTTCTTCTTCTAAATCAGGAGTAGTAGACCTACTTGTTGAACAACTGCTACAACTGGATGATTGACTTTCACCTTCTCCCACATCACTGTCCATTGTTCCACTTCTATAGAAATTAATTTTATATTATTATTTTATATTAAATATATTAATTTTATATTAATTTTATATTGAATTTTTATTTGAAATGCGACTATCTACAATAAAAAGAACGAATAATACATGCCTGTAAATTTTAAAACTGTCACTTGTTTTTTTTATCATCTTCCAAAGTAAATATTTGATTACTTCTACTGGCTCTCGCTCTTGCTTTGCGAGTAAAAAGAACTGCTGTTCTTCTGTTTACACCTCCTATTTCTTTTTCTCCAGATTGTAATTCAATTTCTCCGCGGCTTCTATTATTACGATCCCTTTTTCTGGATTTGGAAGCTGTTTGTTCATTTTCGCCAGGATCTAATTCAGGATAATCTTTACGAGCTTGTTCTATAAGAACACCACCTTGTTCTTTCATCTTTATTCCAGCTCGATAGAACATAGTATCTTTGCGATTATAGGCTAAACAGTTATTCACCATCAAATTGAAATCTGCTTCAAAAGCCCCAATAGTATCATATTCTTGTCTTTCTATTTTTGTCTAAAAAATAAAAATTATATATATAATTTAATAACTTTTTTTATTTTAAATAATTAAAATAAAATTAATTACCTGCATAGTAGATAAATCCATAGGATGAGATACAATTTCTAAATAATCTGGAACTTCTTTAATATTTACAGGTTGTCCAAATACATCATTTATATCTTTCATTTTAATTGCTTCTAACAATGAACGTAAAATACTTTCTAGTGGACGTAATTCGAACCATAAACATTTTTCTTTTCTGTAAAATAAATTTAATATTTGGATATTTATTATATATTTTTTAATAATAATAATAAATTTTTTTGAAATTAATTCGAAATCTTACACTTTAAATAATTCTTTTTTCAACTTCTCTCGTTTGCGTACTAATTCACAAAGTAATCGAGCCCGCTCGAGATCTTGACGTAAACATTGCCAATATTTTAATTGACGATACAATTCTCCACGTAATTCACTATCTGGTGGCGGTGAAGAATTTTCTCCAAGTGGGGGTGGTCGAGATTGTGGATGTGAACTTTGAAGTCTTCTGAGAAGTGGTACACCATTTCTGTATTGCCGTTTCAAAGTCCAATATGCTATAAGACGCTGTATCAGTTGACTTCGTTTAGGCAACCCTTCAGCTAAGCTAGTATTATAAAATATCAATAATGTTTTTACATTTTGTAACATTTATTATAAAAAATTTTTGTTTGTTACCTAGCTATTTCCTTAATACGTTCCGGTGGTATGGTTGGAATAGAAATAACAGGAGCAGAAGAGCTTTTTTTATTTGCAATTGCTCTTCGTCTTGCATCAGCAGGATTGGTGGAAGGTTGATAATCTGATGGTGTATGAGCTTCACAATAAGCTGTTTTTTGAACTAACATTGGTTCTCCATTTGTAGGTTGCACTGTCCTCATGCGCATACATAAACCAGCTTGTTGTGCACATGTTACATGAAATGCAGCATAACAGTTGCTTTTATGACATTGAATACAAGCTCCTGATCCTCTACGTTTGCATACACAGCATGTAAGTCTCCAACGTGCAGCAGGTATGCTTTCTATACTATCAATAGGCTCCAGAAATACAGTATTGGCGAATCTGACTTCTGGTATCCATAAAGCACACACAACATGAGCCCATGTAGCTGGGCGATCAGTTTGTTTAAAAGCACCACCTCTATTAGGGCATAAAACACAATCAACTGCTCGTGATGGACTTTGCAAACATCTCCTGCACAACCACTGTCCCTCAGGAATATATGGTACACCATAACAATCCTGATGAACAGCAAGATTGCACATATCACAAAATAGTATAGCATTACTATTCTGACATTCTCCATCCATGCAAATACAGCAAACTGCATCTTCATCAGCTGCTATTCCTCCACCACCATTACTTTGTTGTTGAAAATAAGATTCTTTTTCTAATCTGTCCATTAATAATTCAAATGTATCAGGTTCTAAAGGTGGATTAAGTCCCGAAGCTAATCTTCTTTCATTTACTATTGATAACCATGCAGTATCTTCTTCATCTAAATCATATTCTACTTCTCCTGAAAAAGGAAACAAATTCAAATAGATTGAAATTACTTGCTAATTCTAAATATACTTAAAAAAATTATATACCATCAAGTTCTTCACCACTACGTTCCATAAATCTAATATACGAATTTGGAAGTGCTTCAGCTTCGCCTAACTGTTGTTCATATTCATCTATTCTTTTACCATAGCTACAGGTAAAGTATTAAGAATATTCTTCTCTTCTTTATCTTTATCTGATGGTGCAATATATCCTTTTTGAATGTTTTTTTCATCAAAACCATTTCCTTCCAAAGAAATAATAGGTATTGAATCTGTGATTCCAATTTTAAATATTTTATTTACATCTTCACCAATAGGATTTACCTTAAATATAAACATAAGCATAAACATAAATAACATTATAAAATTATTCATCTCAAAAATTTTCAAATATTAAAATAAAATAAAAATAAAATTTTTTTTATTTTGTTAAATATAATTATAATTTATTTTAAAATTTGCCTTATATTTCTTAATCCTTTTAGAGTAAATTTTAAAAAAAATTCTAAAAAGAATAATTATATGTGCAATAACAATTGTTAAAATTTATTGGTTATGAAAAATTAAAAAAATATATATTTTATATTTGATATCAGAACCTTTAAAGATTTATATGATAAAAAAATAATTATTTTTCGAGTTATTTATTTTAAATTTCTTGTAATTTCATTATATTATCAAAAGATTAAATACATTCAATAATAATTAAAATAACTTTATATATTAATTAAATATATAAGTTCAAATAATATTTTCTTTTATTTATAAATAAAAATATATTGCTTTCTTATATCAATTAAATTTTACATTTTATATATGTTTTTAAAATATATTTAAAAATTAATAAAATATTATTTTATTATCTTTTTGTAATTTTTAAGCATTGATTAAAGTATATTTCATACCAAAACAAATTTTGATGTTTCTTGTGTACTTAATGCTTCAGTGTTCGCAGGACTGGTGCTATCATTATTAACACCAATTCTACTTCTGCCTTTTTTTTTATTTGATTGTGATGTGTTCATCTTCTTTCACGATTTGGCGTTTTATAAATAATAATGTGCTTATATCATCCACACTTCAATTTAAAATCTTTTCTTACGTATGTTTTTTATTTTAAACTATTCGGCTATGAATTCGTCTTGATAACATACATTAAAATTACATGAATTATATCTCTCATTTTTATGCCAATACAACTATTATAAGATAATTGCATTAATTTGTATTTGAGAAAAAAAGAAACGCTCACAATTGTTTGAACAAGTAAACTAACCAATTTGAGCGGCAAACGTAATGTGCACTGACATGTTAATGTAATAAAAGTACTTTGCATGTCAATTATAAACTATTTTTTCAAATATATAAATTTTCAATTGATTTTGAAAAATTTTTTTATGTTAAATATACATTAATTTTTGTTTAAATATATTTCACAGAATTAATTAAATAAAACTTAACTTAATAATTTATGCTAGACTTACTATTTATGATATAGTTATAGCAATAGAAACTATCCTTTATAAACAAGTAATTTCAAATATGTATCATAACCTGATAATTAAGAGATAAAAATATTATTTTCTATTATTAATTTTTGATAAAAAAAATATATATCATAATCTATAAAAGATTTTATATTATTTTATAGCAAAAAATTAAAATAATAATATTAATCAAAATAAATTTATGTCAACAAATTTAATATTTCATTTCAAGAAACTATAACTTTAATTAATATATATAATATATTAAATTTTAATATCATTATAATCTGTTTAAAATACTACAAATGTAAATTTTCATAAAATTAAAAAAATTGTTTGATATAGATTTTTATATCATTAAGCGGTCATTTTCAAAACATGCTAAGCGAATGGCGTCACCTGGTGACCAAAGAAACATACAAATTGAACTCAACGCAGTTCCGTTTGAGCTTGCTAGTCCTGGTTCTGAATACTTTGTGCACAGAGTGGGAGAGGGTAAGAGATCTAACTTTACACCAGTCATTGGCAGTATTTGTTCCTGTGGCCACAGCTTTGGTTCGTCTATCTCGTAATTGAAAGTTTGGTGTAAAAACTAGTTTACTAGATAGACGATATTTGTGTTTTGTGAGAGTGTGGATCGCGGAACAGTAACTAAAACTAACTAGATTTGTAACTGAAGGAACTGATGTTCCGCTAAGAATTATGTCGGATATTGGTGCAGGATTACGATCGGTCACACGTCAAGTCAGCTGACATATTGCGCCCTGCTACACCGCAACAGCTCTTGGTAAGTGTCGCAATCACACTACTCGCTCATCAACGACGACTATTTTTATCGAATACCTGTGAAATACGTTCGCGTAACCATACGCTATTTTTTTCGTCTGACCACGGTGAAATCTAGCCTGGTTCTTGATTCGTTCCATTCGCTTTGCACTCTTCTCTTAATCCTCTATCTTGGCGTTTCTCTTCATAAAAAGATGTCCGACGCAACGTAGAATACATATTACATGGGACAAAGGAAACAACGCAATTTCTGACTAGGTGCGTATTTTCAAGAATGAGAAACATGTATTTAATACTCATTCCATTTCTTCGTGCTTCTTGACTGCGTGTTGCGTGCGTAGATGCATGCGTTTGACCGTGTATCTACACGATAGCAGCGCCGACGCGATTCAAGCGCAAATGCACACTTATGCATTTTAGCCTCCCCTGCCGCGATTTTCATACCCTCTTTCATCCACATCCGTACTGGCTTATCCCCTTCTTTTAACCCTTTGTATATTCCGTGTACTTCTACTAATAATTGTTATTTTTTTTTATATGTTTTTTTATATGTTAACCACAGAATATAAGTATCAAATCGAATTTTCAAATATGTTTGTATCATTTACAAGTTAAAAACTCATTTTCTTTGCAATTTCAAATAAGTTATAAATTTAGATGGTGTTCTAAGGTTATGATTTTCTTCTTCTCTAAAATGTTTAAAATTCGTTAGAATACAATTAAATTTTTCAGAACTTTTATCTGTTGATAATAATCAAAACAATCCGAAAACTTCATCATGCGTCTTAAATGAATTGAGGTATTTCAAATTTATCACTATCTCTCTAGAAGTAAATGTTGAGCAATAGCTATTCCTTTCTATATCGCGCATGTAGTCAATTCGATATAACCTCTCAAAATATTAAGAAATAATTATAACTTTTATTTCGGAAAATCTGTAGATGGCATTCATGAATAGAGATACAGAATCGAGTGTATAAGATAGACAATAGTACCAACGAAGACAAAAAGTTTATCATTTTATTTGTTACCAATTTTTGATGAATTTCATGACGATTTAATTGCTCGCCAATGACATAAAATTAACGCACTTACTTGAAATTTGATTTAAAAAAAAATTGTTAGGTAAGTGTTGCAATAGAAACGATTAGCAGGTTGATGCTGTATGTCAATGTAGATTAACCTCACCCGAGCCACACCTCGCTTTCTTCCGCTGGTGATGAGTGATATTGTAAAATGGCTGCATGAAGAATTACAAGCAAAGTAATATCGTATATGATAGCTTTCGTAGGAAAATTTCATCAATCGTCAGTATTAATTTGCGCGCGCAGATGATCTTACTCGAGGAATTTTTAATTATAAGAATTTCTTTTTTTAATAAATTTTTCATATGTTTTAAATTATAAATATAATTTTTTATAAAATATCATTTTCGACGAAACATGAATCAGACATTTATCGTTTTCAACGGATGCGATTTAAAATCATCGACCATATACGTCGTACTTTAAAAGATATTCTTACCACGTGTCATTGGACTGTACAGTTGAATTTCATAAGAACAATAAGAGAATAGAATATAGCTGACTGACAACCAAAATACAATTGCAAGTACAATTTTAGATCGTCCTTACCTATCATCTTTTTGTTTTATTTTAATTGAATTTAGTATTTTTATCTTAACGTTATTTAAGTTAAATTTAATAAAGACAAGTTTTATAATTAAAATAAATTTTTAGAATATTTTATATTAATATTTTTGCATTTATATTAATTTTATATTTAAATTTATTTATATTATAATTTTAATATTTATTTTATATTAATTTTTTTGCATTAGACTATTTCATAATTATATATTTGAAGATTGGAGTCTATGACTAATATTTATTAAATTTATTGCCGATCGTAATTTTTTATTTTACTATTAATTTTAATAATTTTAATAATAATTAATCGATTCTCAATGCTTTTGAGATTAAATCAAGGTCAAACAAATTCGTGCTCTATAAAATTTTGTTTATATTTAGAAATCAATTAATTAAAATTATTATATTCATTTTTTTTTAATATATAAAAATCAGTTACATTTAATATAATAATATATATATTATTGCATATTTTTATAAATCGATTATTTGTTATATATCATTGCACAACTTCGAATCAAGAAAAAATACTTATGTATTATATTATCATCGTGTATATATTATGTAAATACATTTAGTAAATTTAAATTGTTTAACAGTTGCTTTAGTATAAATAAGTAACTAAATCGTGCAAGTAAATCAACGTGATTTGTACAATGACGTGTATGGTGACTATTTGTTTTGAAGTGGTGGTAACGATTAGTAATTTTCATTGTTTCGATTTTCGAAGAATACATAAACATTTCTATTTCAAACAAAAATGAATGTAGATAAGTAAAACGGGAAATGAAAACGCGTCATTATCTAGAAATGAGTCAAACATAGAGACAATTACATTTAAAATCGGAATTAAATATTTTTGAATGAGATTGGCACACAAAATTTGCGCGCATATTTAATGAACTAGCTAGTTACTTTCCGTTAGAAAGTGTTTCTATTTCATTTGCTTGTGTAAATGGAACTTTCATTAAAATCGATGTTTTTAATTAGTTATACCAACTGTCATCGTCAGTATGATAAATACGTTATGTCGGAACATCAAGAATATTTTATGCTAATTAAAAATAATGATTAATAATTTTTTAAAGCAATTTATGTAAAATATATATCTTAAAAAGTTATTTATTAAGTTTAATTGAATTTTCGAGAAAAAATTTTATAATTATATGTAAAAGGTAATTTGATTTTATAAAATTTTTGTCTTGAAACATTGTCTTAAAGATATAATCAAGTGATATGTCTTAAAAGCACATGAATGTTTAAAAATATTATTATAATATATTATTATTATAATTTTTTATCATATTGCTTATAAACTAAAATTGCTTAAAAACTAAAATTTCTTGAATACTCATATATATATTAGATTTTATTGTAAATAAGTTAAATAAGTTAATAATTTTTATTTAAGAATTTTTCATACCTTATATATATTGTTGTATTTTTATTAAAAATTAAATATTTTGAAAAACAACTAATATTTGTTGATTTGAATGAATATTGAAATTTATAGGAGTTTAAAAATCATTGATATTTAAGTACTTTTAATGTATAAAAAATGCATTAAAATATTATTTTAAGTGGTTTATATTAGAGTGATTAGATATTTATTATATTGCGATTAAAACTCAAAAAATATTTTAAATTATATATATTATAATATTTTAATATACAAAAATTTATTTTTAATTTATTATTGTATTCAAATGTAAAAAAAATTTTTATTTAATTTTATTAATTAAAAAACTTTCGATTTTTTGCTACTAATCATTTTCATTTTATTAACTGATTTAGCAATTTGTTAATATATTTCATGTATTTTCTAAATATGCATTGATAAATTTTTAAATATTTAAATAATTTGGAATATAAAGAAATAAATTATATATCTGAATAAAGCAAAGTCACGTAACAAGGTTATCACACATAACGAGACATAAAAATAAAGTATTTGCATTTAAACATTAAATATGACCAAGTGGGAAATTTTCTTTTATATATATTCTTTATTTTTTCTTCTTTATAAATTTCCTGATATGTTTTTTACGTTTAATTTAGCTTTCAATTATTATAATGACGTCATGAGCTCTGAAGAACTAACGGATTTAAGTCCCGTTTTTATACTTTCACTGTACAGAAAATTTTCATTGAAATATAATAAATTATATTAGTTATTATTTTTTCAATATTTTTTATTAGAAATAAATGTATTCTTTCTACACCGTTAAGCAACTAGAGCAATAGGTTAATATATTAATAAGGAATAGTTAATATATTAATATTTGATATTGAGATTTTTTTTTTAATTATTTGAAGCACTATATGTTAATTTTATAATTAAAATATTAATTTCTATTTTGTTTTATTTGTATGTAAAATTTCTTCATAAACATAGACATATGAAAGAAAATTTGTAAGTATATAGTAAAACTGAAAAAACAAAAAAATGTAATTATCTCAAAGGAATTTAAATTTAATAAACATTAATATATTTATATTATATTTCTTTATTAAGCATAATAAATTATATAAAAATATAAATATAAATGAAATTTTTTTCTGTTATTTTTATTAAATTAAAAATAAAATCTTTGAAAATAAAATTATTGAACATAAAATAATAAACTTTTTCTACTCTTTCACTTTATATTTGTCGGCATGTATCAGATAATATATAGTTTTAATTATATTATATAGATAATATTGAGAAATAACGCTACGACATCTACAGATTTATTTAGGAAATATGCTAAACACATCATTACATAGTGTTCCAACAAAAAAAAGTATCAGTATATTTCATAGAAGTATGTATTAATTATGAATTGTGTTTATTGTTAAACCATTTCAGAAAAACTTGCAAAAGATTGAAAAAATTATGACATAAAGAACGATCATGTGTACGCAAGCGCAGAATAAAAAGAAGAAATGAATGAGTCGTGTATATATACTTGTATTTAAATAAGAAAGAGAAAAATAGTGACGAGAATAAATGGCGGAAATTTAAGTATTATCTAAATTATCAACTAAATTTTCTATTTATTTATATTTTTCGCATATTTGAAAAATATAAAGAAAAAAACAATAAAACAATCGAATTTTTAAATTTCAAACGTTTGTGTTGGATAAAAGGCGAGGTCTCGGTAAATTATGCTTCATAGTACCTAACCTTATCGTGCAAGTGTGCGCGCTGTGTCGTTGGTTGTACGTTCGCCCAGAGGTTGTACGTTCAAACGATCGCCATCATGAAAACATTCGACCCGTCGTGTCGTTATCGTTGTTTCTCCTCCGTCCTTGCAGGTTCCTCAGATTGAAGTAATATCGAGCGCTCGAGCGCGAAGTTGCATACAAAGAGCGAGAAAGAGAGAGAACGAGAAGGAAAGAAGGAAGAGAGAAAGAGTTATTTGGTAACATTTCGTTTTAGTTGTGGAGAGAGAGAAGGGTCTTAAGAGACAAAGCGAACGCGCGCATCGAGAGTGGCTAAAGCGAGAATTGCGCCGCCGAGAATTACAAAGCACAAGTCAGAAGGGAAGAGAGCTCCCCCGACCGACGGTCGACTATCGGTCGTAACTGCACGTCATCTAACGTGTCTTAACACGATAAGGATAGACGGAGAACCTACTTAAATGCCTCGAACGAATTCTTACTCCATGTTGTGCGTTGGTTGCGACACGACTGCGTGTTGGAAAGTGAGTAATATCACGTTTCCCCTGATCACGCCTCTTCCATTTGGATTTTATTGCGAATACGAAAATCAGACAATAATGACAACGCGTTAAAAATTCCAACCTTCTAATCCTTTTTCTTTTCCTTTATTTTTTTCTATTATCTATCATCGTCAATTGTTTGCTTTTCGTTGTCCAATTTCTCGATTTTATTTGCCCTTGGAGGAATTACGTATACTCTCTCTTTCTCTCCTTCTCTCCTTCTCAAGAACAAAACTGTTCTGCACGAAAGAACGGCCCTTGTCTCAAGATATCGTTGCTGCTTTGCTGCTGACGATTTCTCTATTCTATGTATAGACTCCGTTATGTGTATATATATATATATATATATATATATATATATATATATATACGTCGTGTGTGTGACAATA